AGCAAGTGCAAACAATGAATTAAAATACTACACTAGTAGATGGACGTCAAACTTAACACTTCAGGAGTTCTAGGACGATCAGCTTAAGGATTGACCTAGCATGAACATTTCTTGACATTGAGAAAAGTCAAGACTAACCAGCACTAATAGAGAAGCTTAGTATGGTCACACATAACCTGTGACACCTGTATGAGCAGTTACAAGTGCAAAAGGTATTCTATACAGTTGCTATCAACTCATGATGTGAGGTGTTCCAACAGTGGTACAGCTAATGGTTCCCGGAGCTATGCAAAATAAGTACTCTAGACTTTGCACAACATAAAGACTGGAGGGCACCAAGGTTTAAAACACACTTGTGCTAACATTCTTGTATGGTTCTTTAGGCCATGAATGAGTTCAACACTGATGTAAGCTCTGTACAGGGCGTGCCACCAAGAAAAAAACTGGTTGAGACAGGGTAAACTCCAACAGAGAATTGTTGGGTGGTCTCCTTTGCATAATATATCCCAAAATATATTGCTGATCCACTCATGAAGTCATTGATATATTACTATCACCATTGACTACTTCACAAAGTGAGCTGAACCTTTTCTATTGGTTGATACACAGGCACAGACCATTATAGATGTATTAGCACAATTCAACGTACCAGAAGAAATCCACATGGATCAGGGAACTAACTTCAACAGCCGGCTGTTTGTTGAGTTGTGTTAAGTGTAGTGAAAACTTGTACTTCACCCTATCACCCCCAATCTAATGACTTGGCATAACGTGTAATACAGACTACCAAGCAGATACTTATAAAGTTTGCCAATCCCAACTGAAACAAACATATGTCATATGTGAGGATGGTACATAGAGCAATGAAATAGGGATTAATGAGCTGTTCACAGAACGTATTAATGTTAGGATGGGAAGTGTTACTTCTTGTGAATATGGTGTACGGTCCTCTATCACAGGGAGATGCAGAATATGTGTCTGAAGGAAAAAGTGACGGAAACGAGATGCCGATGTCATCGCGCTTTAATGGCTAGAGTGACTAGGTCGACATCTGAGTGGCATTTGATCTAATGTCGGTCACTTGTGCAGGTAAATAGTTTGCACTCCCATCTCCCCTGGCTCTGTTGGTTCAACGACCAGAAAGAAGGTAGTGTAGGGAATGCAGAAGGGGTTACAGGACTGTTGTGGACCATTCTTAGGGCTGTGACGACTTTAGAGACAGCTAATTTAGGTTAAGCTCGAGACCCGAGGCTACCTGCATCAATTGAGCTGTCCATAAATAATAGGGATCGTATTCTATAAACAGATTAAGCGGAAGTACATGCAAGACTGCAGACACGGAGCTTGATCGATGTGTTATTTATAGTTTTACTTTTCTCATGCTGATCCTGATGGGTCTGGGACGATGTATTTGGATCCAGGCAGTAGTGTAGAAAAGAATGCAGGGGCACTTGCTACCAGGCGCACCTCGAAGGGGGTGCGCTTCGAGCCATGATAACACACTTCAACTCCACTTCAATATATTACTTTACTTTTGAATAAAATATAAACGCTAAAATTCGTACACAGGCTTAAAAACACATTACCTGTATTTGGCAGGACTAAGAAATGTGCTATCTAGCAACTCTCCAGCTCGGTTGTGTAGAAATACTATTTGTTTAAATAGTTTTGAATAACATGAATAACAACACCTATTAGAAAGACATTTTTAGTAAAATTATCTTAATATTTTATATTTTATGTGAAAAAATTTGCTTACTGGTTAAGTTGTATTCTCGATAAACCAATAAACGTTAATAGTACATTTTTCAACAAATTTAAGTTGTTATTTTTTTCAAACAATCTTGAATAGTGTTTTTAGTGTTGGTCATATCAAAACTTTCTTTTTTTTTCAGATTACCATGGGGCGCTCTTTGGACCCTTTGCCCCGGGCTACGCTAATGGTTCAGGCCGTTATAACTTAAACATACACTCTTGACCAAGTTTTTCTACTCAGTTGTAATTCTTTTTGGCCCAGTATTTTGAGTCCTGCCTTTTTATTTAAGTTCAGACTCCAAAACATTTTGTCTATCTTGATAAATCAACCTTTCATTTGACGTAGCTTACTCGTGATGTTGTTTCAACCCCAAAAGCTGCAAAGAAATCACGGATGAAGAAAGTAGTGGCCAATATGCTTGACTTGCATATTCTGGAGACATTTCCATAAAAAATAATTGCATATATACACCATTACTATAATACTCATGATAAACTACAGATATCTAGCTACACTACACAAAGGAACGTGAAACTCTTAAAACTAAATCTTAACCTAAAACCATACCTGTACGCACACATACACAAATATATATATATATTGTTACGACAGCGGAAGTCACGTGACTCTAGTAACACGTCATGAACTTCTAGAAAAATCATGTCCCTTCCTGAAGCCTCGAGTGTTTACTAGATGTACGGTATTATTGTATATAAG